AAGCTACTTATTCTGATGACAGAATAAGGCGGTGCCTCGTAACTTCACGTACACTCGTACGTGCAGAGGAAGACGGTAAGAAGAAGCGAGTACTTGGTTAAAGTAAAAAGTAGAACTGTATTTATCATAGTTAATGTCTGTTAATAAACCACTATTTATCTTCATCTAACTATGTCTAAATACAAATGTGTATATCAACTATCTGCTCACCACTCATTGCGTGCGTCTGTCGTGGCGCGTCTTCGTTGGTTGATATAATGGCCTATATCAACCAATTAGGAACTACTCGTAAGTGCTACAGAATATTTGTCCTTATGACAATATTCTAAGAATATAACTCTTATAGTTATATTCTATTAACAATTTCTTATAAATTGTTATGTAACGATTCACCCCGTTACATGAATCGTGACATAACAATTTATAAGAAATTGTTAATAGAATATAACTATAAGAGTTATATTCTTAGAATATTGTCATAAGGACAATTATTCTGTAGCACTTACGAGTAGCTCCTAATTGGTTGATTTAGGCCATTTTATCAAACAACGAAGACGCGCCACGACAGACGCACGCAATGAGTGGTGAGCAGATAGTTGATATGCACATTTGTATTCAGACATAGTTAGATGAAGATAAATAGTGGTTTATTAACAGACATTAACTATGCTAAATACAGTTCTACTTTTTACTTTAACCAAGTACTCGCTTCTTCTTACCGTCTTCTCTGCACGTACGAGTGTACGTTACGAGTTACGGCCGCCTTATTCTGTCATCAGAATAAGTAGCTTGTACTGTCACCGGTACAAGCTTCAGGGTGCCCCCACCTGGTAGCACTTCGTAGTCCGTCAAGGACCGCGTTCACATCTAACATGAATATGTTGGATAATGAAGATGACCAAAGCTTTCACGCTACGCGTGACGGCTACTCCCATTTGAGCGATGTCGAATGGGATGCGGTTGAACGGATGGATTCAACTATGGGCATCCATGCTGTTAGCGTCATGCTAGAGGCTCTCAATAAAGATGCCCATCATGCTACTATCGCCAAGTTCATTCAAAATGAACTTGACGCTGAACGGAGAAAGTAGCCTTGCTTGCACAAGGTTCTCAACAAGCAGGAGTTGTTGAGGAGAGACTGGTGCTCAACAGTTTGAACTGTTGAGACAGCAGCAGGCTGCTGGTGGGTCGATGCACTCGCGTCGACCCAAAACCTTGAAGATTGACATCTTTAAGTATAGGGGAGTCGAAGAAGGACCTCCCTCTTGAGATGGTTCGTCGAAGTGGATGACGCCATAAGGGCGCGTCGCATCGACGACGGGGATATGCAAGTTGTATTTGCCCAGTCAAATCTGGCAGGACGTGTCAAAGGCGCTGGGGCTTCAGTTGCACGACCCATATGCGTTTGGGTCGTTGGAAGTCTTCAAGTCGCGGCTCAGACAAACGTTTGAACCGCCTAGAGCTGAGTTAGAGCTCGAACCGAACTCTTGAAGCTCAAACAGGGTAAGCGTGATGTGTACGCTTACGCGCAACATGTACGACATCTTACGAGTTGTATAAGTTCCAATCCGGTGGATGAACACACGCTGGTTTCGGTGTTCATGCAGGGTCTTGCGGATGGTCCCGTCAAGACTCACCTGTTCCGGCTTGAACTAGATTCACTAGAACAAGCCATTTCCATTGCGGATCAGGAAGACTTCAGTCTGAGACAGGCTCGCGCCAGCTCGACATCATATCGTCAACCGAGACGATATGACAGCGGAGGTCCAGAGCCGATGGAACTCTGTTATGTAGATAGCGAGAAGGCTCGCTCTACAGACTACAAGAGGTTGCAGAAATGCAATAGATGTCAAAAGACAGGACACTACGCTTACGAGTGTAGTGCCCCTCGTCCAGTGTCTCGCAACACTGGGCGTAATGACCGTCCACCCAGGAGAAAGGGGCAGGGACGCGGGTCCGCCGTTGGTGCAAAGACGCAACAACGGGATGGACCGTCAAAAAACGGACAGGATCAGTAGGTGCGGAGCACCCTACTGGTCCAGCAACGTCAAGAGAATTTGTAGGCCTCTTGATGAAGGTTGCTCCCAACACACAAACGTTGTGCGTTGCTGCTCTAGGTAATGAGATCTCACTCATTACCTTAAAACTCGAAGTGACAAATAAGTTGTCCCTTCGAGCTCTAGTCGATTGTGGGGCGTCCAACAATTTTGTGCGATGCCAATCGCTAGACGATGGTCATTTTAAGCTCAGTGAATGTGACACACCTCCTACGAGGATGACGGTACGTCTTGCGACAGGCGCATCCGTAACCGTCATGAAGCGTACAGTGAAGATCCACTATACGCTAGAAGATACCCAATATGACGATGACTTTATCGTATTGGATTTGGATGACAAATTTGATGTCATCCTTGGAATAGCGTGGCTCAGAAGGTACGAACCACGGGTAAACTGGCAACATCGAACAGTAACGACGCCTGCCGCTTGTTCATCAGATGGCCATCTGATGAACGTTTTGGAGCGTCCACAAGCGTGTGGATGTACTACGAGTGAGTGCGATGGCCTCACTTGTGGTACGGTCGTTAGTACGACTGCACAAAACCTTCGTGTAACAAACGGTTACACTTCGGATCAAAGTTCCAGCGGCTGTGAGGAAACACAGGCTGCGCCGAAGGTCCACCACTCGAATAAGCCGAGTGGACCGGGACAAAGATGTATCCCTAGCGGGGAACATCTAGAAGAGAAACAATCGATCGCTCAGGTTAAGCGAAACGATAATCCTAGATCGACTGGAGAGTCTTTCGTAGAGGATCTCGCTGTGGCTGCGCAACCCCAGCTAGTGGAAGTAAAGGGAATAAGTCCCGAGATTACAAATACGGCGGAAATAAGTTCCCCGAAACCCGCGGGAATAAGTCCCCGGGAAGCCGAAGGAATAAGTCCTTCGAAGCCTGAGGGAATAAGTCCTCAGGAAATGACAGAGACGTTGAATGTCATAGTCAATAACGGATCAAGTGTAGGCGCTTATACACTTGATATGATTGCGCCTCAGAAGTTAACTTCAGAGATCACTCAGTTGCCAACGCTCGAACATAAAAGGTTCTTGCGTGATCTGCGTAGTGGCAAAGTCAAGAAGATCTGCGTACTCGTCGCTGACGACGAGTGTGTAGCCGACATAAGGTCAGCAACACAGTGTTTACTGAGAACGAGAGAGTTCTCAGTAGTTCATCTATGGACGAGAGTGTCCTAGATGAAAAGACACGAATTGAGCGATATGACTCCCAATCGTGGGAATCGCTCAAGACAAATCCTCTCTATGATGATTTGGTTGAATTCAAGGATGTATTCCCTGAAACTGTTCCGTGCGAATTACCGAAGGATAAAGGTATTCGACACGAGGTAGAGCTTAAACCAGGCTCGAAGTACTGTGTCATGAAGCAGTGGCCACTGCCTCGTGAACAAGTACTTGCGATCGGCAAGTTCTTTACCGATCGTTTAGCTGCGGGCCATGTGAGGGAATCAACTTCCCCACATAGCTCTCCGACCTTCTGTGTGCGAAAAGCAACAGGAGGGTGGCGGATAGTGCATGCATTTAACAAGTTGAATGCTGCAACGGTACCGGCTCAGACGCCGATACCAAGGAAGGACGTAATCATTGATGGTATGTCAAAGAGTACCATCTTTTCGTCCATGGATTTGATGGATGGCTTCTATCAAATCCTTATGAGGGAACGAGATATACCCTATACCGCAGTGAGCACGCCTAGCAGCATGCTCTGGGAATGGCTAGTAATGCCACAAGGGCTTAGTAATGCCCCTGCCACGTTCAACAGATGTGTATCACATCTGTTGAAACCGGTACGAGAATTCGCGCCGAGTTATTTCGATGACGCGTTCATCCATAGTCGGGCTATGGATGGAAAGTCGGACGCTGAGGTTCACAGGTACCACGTCCGACAGGTTCTTACGATCATACGAAAGCATCAATTGTATGCTAACCTCAAGAAGTGTATATTTGCATCAAGCGAAATACCACTTCTTGGGGGCATCGTTGGTAAGGACGGTGTACGTCCTGATCCCGAAAAGATCAAGGCGATCACCGACTGGCCTGTGCCGGTTGATGTCAAAGGTCTTCGAAAATTCCTTGGGCTAGCGGCGTATTTGCATAAGTATTCACGCAATTACGCCGAGATGACTGTGCACCTCTCTCGTTTGTTGAAAAAGAACGAGAGGTGGTTATGGAACGCTGAATGTCAGCGCTCCTTTGATGGTATCAAGCAGAGCTTGATACAATCCCCAGTCCTAGCAATAGCCGATCAGGACAGGCCATTTCATGTGGTCTGTGATGCCAGCGATTTCGCAATCGGCTGTGCATTAATGCAGTACGACCTAGAAGGCGTTGAACGCGTCATCTGCTATCAGTCGCGTCAGCTGCAACCAGCTGAGCGGAACTATCCAGTGCATGACAAGGAACTCCTTGCCATGAAGTATGCACTCGCGAAGTTCAGAGTCTATCTATTAGGAGATAGACCCTTCATTGTTTACACTGACCATGCGTCATTACACACGGCAGTGAACAGCCCGCACCTTTCACAACGAATGGTGCGGTGGTTGTCATTCTTTGCGGAATACAAATTTACGGTCGAGTACAAACCAGGACGACTTAATGTCGTCACTGATGCACTCTCTCACGTCGTCCCGACTTTGAACCAGTCGCGAAACCCAACAGTGAGACAGTCACTGTTGCGGTTATGACGTCCTCAGTCCCATCTACAACGTTGTATGATGATGTGAGGCGGGCATACGCCCAAGATGGTGAGATTGTGAAGTTGTTGACACATCTCTCCCATCCATCTCGAGAATCGTTGAAACGATTGTCGCCTGCGTATCGATCTGCATCAGATCGATACACTACTCGCAACGGGTTACTGTATTATACAGCCGTTTCTGGTGACACACCACGTGTTGTCATTCCAGATGATACTGATCTACTTTAGCGGATCATGTTCGAGTATCACGATGCTCCTAAAGGAGGACATCGTGGCCGGGAGAAAACAAGTCTCACGGTGAGTCGAGACTTTTACTGGCCCCGCCAGTATCAGTTTGTGCGAAAGTATGTTCGCGCATGCGAAGTCTGCCAACGAGTGAAGTCAAGTCCTTCACTGCGTGCACCTTTACAGCCTCTACCGGTTCCGGCTGAGTGCTGGGAATCCATCTCAATGGATTTCGTCTTCGGGTTACCCAAAGACGCACGCGAGAATACGGGTATTCTCGTATTTGTTGACAGATTCAGCAAAATGGTACACCTTGTGGCTGTACCAGAGACAATCACGGCAAGTGGCTGTGCCTGTGTCTTTATTGACACCATCTTCCGACTTCATGGGTTGCCCCGTGAACTCGTATCAGACAGAGATCCACGATTCACTGCTGATTTCTGGCGTTCCGTGTTCAAATCACTCGGAACGCGCTTGAAGATGTCGACATCTGATCATCCAGAGTCAGATGGTCAGACGGAACGTGCCAATCGTGTCCTCGAAGAGATACTTCGAGGATACGTACACTCCTTTAAGAGTTGGAGTGAATTTTTGCCAATGGTAGAGTTTGCCATTAACAACTCGGTGCATGCGTCCACGACACATACACCGTTTTACGTGAATGGCTTGCGCCATCCGCGTGTACCCACCTTACTAGAGTGTAACTCTGGTGTAAGGGGGGGAGGGACTCGCGCGAGCAAAACCCGATTTGGTTCACGCTCATCACGCTCTGACGAAGAGGTCATTGCTTTTGATGCCGATATCGATAACATCGATATCGAAGAAGATGATGCTAGTGAGAGTGCGGAAGCCCTCACTGAAGAAGATGATGCCAGTGAGAGTGCGGAAGCCCTCACTGAAGAAAAGGTTGATGTTGCTGCAGTGCGCATACAGCGCACTGAAGCTAACGAGTCATCAGATGAGTTCATACTGGCTCGTGAAACGGTAGTCCGTTTTGTGCAAGACTCCATCGCTGAAGCGGTGGATAAGCAAAAGCAAAACGCTGACAAGAATGGAAGGACAAACACTCTTTTATTTAATAAAGGTGACTTAGTCCTACTGTCTACGGTTAATCTACCAAAGCATGTAGTGACTAACTTGGGTAGTAGTAAACTTTTACCCAAGTACATCGGCCCATTTCGTGTATTGCATCGCCTAGGCAATGCATACACGATCGAGTTGCCACGTAAGATGCGAACGCATCCCACGTTTTACGTTGGTCGGCTTAAGCCGTACCATCAGTACGCTGCTTCTTCCGATGAAGAACGCCCTTGCGCTCAAGCATCTCGCAGAGAGCCTTGTGCTCCCGATGGTGGGCATCGACAAGGGTCTGAAGAGCGGTTATCTCATCCCGAGACCGATCAACAATCCCACGAGCTACCCTTAGCTCGTCACGAAGAGATGTCAGAGCTCTCTCGTTCTCAATCTGAGCAAAGGCAAACTCAGCTCGATGCTTCAAGACAGTGTCCGCTAGTTGGAGACGCTTGTCCCGCTCATGTTCGAGATCGCCGCGTAACCCTTGCGTTACGCGATCAAAGAAGCTCTCGGGAACACACGGATCCCCATGATCGTGTGGAGAGCGTCTTTCCTCCTCCTCCACCTCCATTAGAGGACGCTCGCGGTAGCCAGCGCTATCTAGTTGAGCAGCTGTTGAACCACCGCGACGTGAACGGACGTCGGACGAGTTATCTCGTCCGGTGGCGCGGCTATCCCCCGTCCTGGGATACTTGGGAGCCCCGCTCCCAACTGATGGTTGACGTACTGGGTCTGGTTGAGCAGTACGACGCGGCACATCCTGTGCCGCAGAAGGACCGCCGGAGAAAGTCTTCCCGGCACGGTCGTAAAGGGATTTCAGGTTGTCAATCCCTTCGTACATCTCAGTAGAGATACGTACGCGCCACCACGGGCTAGTAAGGAGGTAATCCTCCTTAGGTGCGCGCGCAGATTTGTTCACACAACATAAGCACGAGTCTCCCCAAGAGAGGCAGGGTAATCCCTTCTCCCTAGACAGACGTTGCAGCTTGTAGCGTGCACCTGTCGGGGTTCGCTTTTCAAACTTATCACGAGCTTTGATAAGTTTGTCGTTCCAAGCGTCACGACCTACATCCTCAAGGTTATGGATGTAGGCGTTCCACGCTTGAAGTAGTGAGGGACCATCACGCTTGTGATTCCCACTGTACCATCGATGTCTAAAGAAAGCATCGATGAAGAATTCATGTTCAGCGCGATAGTTTTTCGCGCTGGGGTCAAGGTGATGAATCCTTGACATATCGAACAACCGTTTTCGATAACGATCACTCGTCGTCGCCGACAAGTGATCCATGACGGATTTTGAAGGCAGCCATGCCTTCTTTCGGGAGCGAGACGCAAGACATTGCGATCCCGCTCTTCCTGCGATGTGCCGACAGAAGTACTGGCACCTCGTTGCGAAGTGGTGTCCATAGGAGAACCGACACCACTGTTAGCGCCCGAGTCTCGCGACCTCGAGCGCCTTCGCTTCGGCGATGGTTCATCTGATTCATCAGATGAACCAAAGATGCTACGACGCATAGCATCATCCATGCCACGCTTGGCAGGCGGCTTGGATTCGATCGCCGTTGATACGGATCCGTCTTCCGTATCAGGAGAGTATGAGACACCGAGCTCATACTCTGTGAAGACATGAGTGTCTTCATGACCAGCGCCTGCATCACCAAGTGACACAGGCTGAGTCGCTTCGGCCACCGATGAGACATCAGTTGCTGTAGTTTCTGCTTCGGCATCCGCACAGAGACGTGCGGAAGCGCTCTCGGCGGCCTTGCTCGCGCATCGCATGGGCTTGTTAACCATGCGATGAGATGTTGAAAAGTGGACTCGGACCAACAAGTGCAAACCCCGTCCCAACTGATTCGGGACGAGTATCCATTTAGTCAATCAGTCACTAAAGTGACTGATGGTTAAGGGGGGGGTGATGTAACGGGGTGAATCGTTACATAACAATTTATAAGAAATTGTTAATAGAATATAACTATAAGAGTTATATTCTTAGAATATTGTCATAAGGACAAATATTCTGTAGCACTTACGAGTAGCTCCTAATTGGTTGATATAGGCCATTATATCAACCAACGAAGACGCGCCACGACAGACGCACGCAATGAGTGGTGAGCAGATAGTTGATTTACACATTTGTATTTAGACATAGTTAGATGAAGATAAATAGTGGTTTATTAACAGACATTAACTATTATAAATACAGTTCTACTTTTTACTTTAACCAAGTACTCGCTTCTTCTTACCGTCTTCCTCTGCACGTACGAGTGTACGTGAAGTTACGAGGCACCGCCTTATTCTGTCATCAGAATAAGTAGCTTGTACTGTCACCAGTACAAGCTTCAGGGTGCCCCGTTACAATTCACCCCGATACATTGTCCGTTGTTGCTGCTACCGTAGCAATTGAGTTGAGACTGAGTACTTGATCGATCCGGGCCAAATTTCCCGAGATCGCTCTTCATTCGATCTTGACCAACAAATACAGAGTCGGTCTTTAGTGTCCTTGAACACGCGTGCCTTGAGCCGTCGGGAAGCCAACGAAATCTTTCCTGGAAAGGGGGGACGTGTGGAGTGTGTAAAAGAAGTAGAGTTCAAGTCTGTTTATTCACCAACCTACCCTTAAACCTATGTTTAACTGTAGGTCACTCTCCAAACCGACATCACCTTGAATCTGGATCGCCCTCTTGCAATGTCGAAATTTCGTGCCCTGTACCACATGGTAGCGCCAGCATTCCCGATATTGTACCTTGAACACCAAATGCACCCAAATCTCAGATTTGGTACCAAATACCCATTCTTGGCGCCGAAGTACATAATATATGACCCAAAATGCCGAGTGTGTCCAAATCCATTTTGCGACGTCTATTCAGACGGCATCCACTGGCTCTTTCGGTCTGAAATCTCTCAACATCACTCAGGAACCTCCATCAAGCATATTTACATGGTCTAGTATCTTCATCAACCACATATCCAAGATCAGTGTGGAATATGACCAATCTGTTGCTCATTATCGAGACATTGGAGATCGATCCGGTATAGATCGGTGATGCACGCTCTTCCGTCTCATTGTACGTGCTCCCATATCATTATCCAGTGTTTATCCAATCGACAACCTCATCCATACGCCTCGAAATAGGCTTCCTTGACTCACCTGAGTATTCATGACTTCCAAATCGGGGTATAAGTAACCAAAATCAGTACTCCCATTATAGGTTCGGTAAAGAGTATCACCGATCCGTATGGTGTTGCACCTTCGTTGCCGATTCACCGATCCGTACCATCTGGTCCCAGATGTACCTTGGGGAATCACTTTGTCCCAGATGTGTCAATTCTGCAGAGGGCCGCTGCCATAGCATGTCGATCTGCGATCTGGTCTTCGCCTGCTTCAATATAAGTATACTTCTTCTTGACACACATTCAGACGAGATATATGACTTCGTCCCGCTGTCTTGTCCCAGATCGCTCCATAGAATTCTTTTCGGTTTGTCGTCTTGTCTCAGATATCGTCCCGTCTCCGTCACCTTTTGGACGTTGGATCGGATTGCTGGATACTGATTGGGGTCATCTTCCATATCCCATTGGATCGATAGACCACCTGGTCTCGTTTTCTGCTAGTTGGTGGCGTCTTAACAGGGTGGTCACCGAATCCACGTCCCAAAAAATTGGTTTACGACTTTCCACAATAGCGGATTCAACAACGGTACTGATAGATCTATAACAACGAATGGAGCTTTAAACTGTTCTTGTGGATGAGTAAGTTACACCTTAAGTTATTCAAGTGCCCCTTCATTTCATTACTTTATGCTTGATTACATGCTCTTGAGATGCATGCCTAATGTCTACGGTCGATTTTCGTTAATTTGTGTAACATAACAACCGAGTAAATCTTAAGCAGCGCTAGTCACGCGTGGCGTGTAATGGAAGCTTTAAATAGATGGAAAAATGCACCACTTAACAAGCACATTATTTCTTGACACACGCGATTCCACTGTTCTACAAATTATCAATTACAATCGTTTGCATCCTAGTACTGCAGCATTACGATCTCAAAGTTCATTTGTAATCATGTGGCTGTTGGGGGCTTCGGGACCAGCTGAAGATACCCTCGTAAATCCCGACTCGTTAGACCGGAACAAGTCGAATAGATTGAAGCTCGTCAGTGTTACTACTCATGTTTGACTCCACTTCAGCGTGAGTCGCCTACTAACAGTATCAAGAAGTCTCTGTACGACAGCACAAATCAGACATCTTCATCCATTCACATACCGACCATCCCAGTCTTGGCTTCGACATCGCTTTATTGCAGCAGAAAACGCTTACGCAGAGGATAGCGCAGAAGGTAAAGACTTGAATTTTACACTCCTGAGTTTTTAGTGCGCACTCAACCGAAGTCAGGCGGCTAAACCCATCATTCGCCTGAAGCAATATTCTTAAGTTTTAAGTAATAGTGGGACTTGTTGGTACTGTGAAACGAAATAGAGAAGTTCTGTCCTAAAATGCATTGCCAACATAGTAATTTTAAATTTCGTTACCACTGGACCACTTCAGGAACTTACCACCTGCAAGATGAGTCTGAATGCCTTATCTTCAACGTACTATTCTGCTTGTTTTCTATCAATCAAGTGGACCGAGACAAGCCCAAGCTTACTCATCCAGTAGTTCGACAGCCAGCCTTCGATCCCGCCACCCACCTTGGGGCGTGCGAGCCCCAAACATAAGTCATCGACCCTCCCGTTGCTTAGACAGTTAGGCGCCTACAGTTTTTTACTGGAAGCTCATCCCTGCTAAGTGACTCGAGTTTGCGCTAAGTCTTTTCCAAAAGGAATCGACTGTGTTGACCTCACCTTTTTTTGTGGCATGAAATTGGAATCGAGAGGTGCTAGTTTTTACATGTACCCGGACGCTAGGCCGAACGGGCGTCTTCGTTGAAAAGTTTAACTACGTGGAGTGGGGAGAACACACAGTATTAGGCTGTACTATCACTTAGGTTCGGGTATTCAGGTACCTTTCGACCAGTGATTGCTTAGGTGTCTCCAACACTAGAGCCACAGCACCTGTCTTCCTTGTTGTCCTTTACGGCTCTCGGTTGCCTTCTTTTTCTTGCGCTTATCCTAGTATCCAGCGTTACTGCAATTAATAGGGTGTACGAAACAGTTGGTACTTCTCTATTCCAGCGCCTATCCCAGTATACAGTAGTTACAGCGCGCCCATCCCCTCTCTCCCTATCCCAGTGTCCAATTATTACTGCGGTATAGAGCTGGTACAGCGCACCTTTTACCTTATTCTCCCTATCTTAATGCGTAAGGTCAGTGGACCTCAGCGGGATCGGAAATGGCGTCAGGCCTGGCAAGCAGCCGCTCCTCGAGTGGACTATTCTCGTCCAACCGATGTCATCTTCACTAAGGCGCCTAGGACGCCTTGTTGGACCCCGATAGGGATTTCTAAGACAAGAGGTGTGCCGCCCTTGCGGGCGTGCCCCAACAAGTCTCGAACGAGCTCTGTCTGCCTATGTGGATACCTGCGCGCTAACTTTCGGCCACCTTTCCGATACGGAAATCTTGACTTCGCTCGGCTTGGCGACCCAATCGCTTTTGTGGTCCAAGAGTCTAGAGCACTTAAGGGAGTTTAAAACGATCCGTAACGCGTGTATCAGTTTTTTGTGTACCGATCGGGAGGTTTGTACGAAATTGGGGGAGAAAGTGTGACCATTTGTGGTCGCATTTTAAAGTCCAAACGTACTCTAAATACTCCCATTGGTACTATGTGGATTTGCAACGCCTCCCCGACGACGTGTCGGATGGACTGATTTACGACTGCTTTGCCCAACGGGGCACTCCACCGGTGTATATTAAGCCGGCTCAAGTTATCGGCGGTCTTCATTCTCGCAACCGCCGGGTGTACTCCAAGCAAAAGTCCCCTCCACCATCGGTGATGTTGGACAAGCGCACTCGCTCCGCCAGATCCCGTTAACGAGTCAAGGTTTCGCGATAGTGCACGTAGGCTGAGTGCCTATAATCGAACGGTCCCGCCTTTTATAGAGGCACTGCGTGCTTCGGCCAAACCGTTTACGGCTCCTTCGCCTCCTCCAGCCTCTACGCCTGCTGCTACTACCGACGTACCACTAGCTTTCGACAACGAAAGCGATTCAGGTGACAGCGAAGGAATGACTGACGATTCTGGTATAGAACGTAAGCCAAATAGTGGGGATCGTTCTGTGTCGGATAAAAAAGAACCCGTTGTTATGAAAGAAATTTATTCATCCGTTACGGTTCGCCTCAATTCTATTTGGCCAACCGGGAAAGCACCCATTTTTTTCTGTTGGCTCTATTGATCGCGACGTCTTTTCGCCTGCCCGTCTCAAACGAGCGAAAATACTAATTTTTTGTCCTATTGCGGAACTGGAGGTAGAGGTTGAGGTGCGCTATCTCCATCCCTCCCAATGGGAATAACCATTTTTTGTCTTCGGTTAGTTCCTACGAATGGCTAAGTGAAGGGTCTGGTGGCTCCATTTCTGATGATGAAGACATCATACTATGGGACCGATCGCAGGATCCTCCACGTTCCCTCAGCTCCTTCGTTAAGTTGGCCAAGCCTTCAGATAGGATATTGAATTTGTCGGTCTACCAAGGTTCAGTGGAGGCGCTGTTGCTCAAGGAGATTTTTGCGGTTATCGACGGGTTTTTGAAGTCCTTCGACACGACCCACGATCCTGGCTCTGTTGTGGCTTCTATTCAGGCCCAGCCCAGTCTGCTGCGCCCGATGCTCGACACCAAGGCAGCCGGTAATTTACAACTTCTTCGTGCTAAAGTTTTTGGTCATGCTGTGCTTCGGATGGCTGCAACCCGGCCGTATCCATCGACCGATGACGGGTCTCTCTTGAAAAGACTTGGGACTTTATATTCTAACAAGGCGGACTTTGACTTCCAGTCGGTTCTCAGTCAACTTTGCCCCGATCAAGACGCGTTTTGGGGGAAAATACGGCTAACCGAGTTTGATCTGGCAATGCTACATTGCTCCAAGTATCTATATGCACCCAATTAAATTGGGTACCTTACTTGGGCGAGCAGCATCGGCACTGCCCCACCCACTATGGCTACTATGGGACGACCCGACCTTGGCGGCCTTAGTGCTTTCTTTACTTTTGGAGCGCCTTTTAATTGAAGACATCCCTGTCGATCTTCGACAAACTATTGAATTCCTACGGGAGAGGACCACCGAAGTGGTACCCCCAAATTACGCCTTCTCTCTAATAAGGTTTGGGCCCTTCGGAGATACACTTTTTAACGTTGATGGTTTTAACACCGTAAAGTTATCAACACTAAACTACTTTTCCAACAATTTTTAACTTGTGGGACTCCAAGAGACCCGCTTCACTGTGATAAAGAGATTTAATCGGGCAAGACATCTCTGGCAGATTACTTTCCAACTAAACTCAAGTTTTTGGTCTCAAGACAATACGGACTCCTTCGCTGGCCTGGCGGGTGTGGGTCTTCTCATCACGCCTTCTTGTCCAGTTCGCGACCTTGGCGACGTTACTCTCCGCCATGCAAAGCTCTCCAGATCGTCTATTGAGGTATTTGCGGGTGCGCGGCACAGTTGATTTAGTTGTTACCTACATTATTATAGTGTCTGCGCCCGTTCAGTCTGGGCAACGTTTGCTCTTCTTTAATAGCCTCACACGCAATTTTGAAGACGATGCTCATCACATCGTTATAGGCGACTTTAGCACGGTCCTCTCCAGTCAACTCGACCAAACTCGATCGCACGACCGGGCTCGTCGACAAGATCGTGATGAATTAATCGACTGGATGACATCCTTACGGTTGGTCGACACATGGCGAATTCATCATCCCGATGTCCAAGAATTTACCAGTCCCACTGGTACGTCGCGAATTGTTTATGTCTTTGTGGACTATCACCTATTTCGCTCGGTATTTAAAGACGTTTTTCACGATTTTCGAGCCAAGTCTGGAATAGGCGACCATATCGGTCTATTTTTTCGTCTTGGTTCAACTTGCTTCAAGCCTATTAGACGTGCCCCTTGAAAATGCCCGCTTTAGGTTGTTCAACTTCCAGAGGCACAAGAGTATTTACAAGCTTCACTTATTCAACTGGCCGAGTCATTTGATTAGGATGTCTGGCCCTATAACCCAGGCTGCCTTCTAGATGAGCACAAAAGGAAGGACTCTATGTTTCTTCGGGACCTTTTTCAAGCCAAGAAAAATGAGCGCCAACGAGAAATTAAAGAGCTTCACCTTGAGGTGAACCGACTTCGACACCGGCAGGCGTTGGATTCCTCGGTGGACATATCGGCTGATTTCCCTCGGGTTAGAGCTTCCCTTACCGGTAAATTAGGGAGAATCTGCCCATTTCACTTCCAAGCAAAAATTCGTCTCCGACCACCAATCTACTGAGCGTTTCTCCAAGTTTTTCTCTTCGGCCGCCCCAAGTGCTTCACAAGACGCTCATTTCTGTGGACTCGGTCGAAGACCTGATCCCAACCTGCACCTCCTTTAAATCCTATTGGTCTGGTATCTAATGTTCGCCGTCTAAGGAGTATGGGCATGCGAGAACTGATTGAAATTGCATGTGACTATCCCAGCTATTACATCCCACAACCACGCGAATGACACCGGCGAACCGGGATTACTTGGACAGCCCCTACACAGCTAATGGATTTTAATGGGCTTTTAAAAAACACGGCGACTGGAAAGACGCCTTGTCCGGAAGGCTTGCCCCTGGACCATTACCGTGTCGATTTTTCCCTTTGGATCCGTAAATTGGAGATAATTTACACTGCTCAATTTTACAAGGGGAAAATGACCAAGTTCCAACGGCGGGCACAAATCTCGCTCCTATACAAACATGTGGATCGGAAACTACCAAGCAAATATCGCCCTATATTACTTCTCAATGTGGACGCCAAATTGGGACACAAAATACAGGCGCACAGACTGGGTCACTTTTTAGGCTATATTCTTCACTCAGAACAATATGGGTTCGTTCCAGGGCGAGATATTCGCCACGCCCCGTATGCGGTTCCAAGCCGTAAATCAACTCTATTCGGATACCGACATTCCAGCGGAAACTGTACTATTGGACTTTGCAAAGGCCTTCGACAGCGTCGTGTGGGACGCTTTGGATATAGTTCTAATGCACCTTGGGTTCGGACAGAACTTTCGGAGATGGATTGAGGTTCTTTTTCCGAGTACTTTGGCTTACCTCATGTTTAACGGTCGCCCATTGTCTCCGTTTGAACTGGGTGCCGGGGCCCGCCATGGCGACCCTCTATCACCAGCGCTGTTTGTGCTCTTTATCGAGCCCTTACTCAACTTTCTTCGGGTCCAGCTTCAAGCCATGGGTCTACAATGTGGATCTCTTACTCAATCGGTCATCAGCTTCGCCGATGAATGCACTGGGCTCTTGTATGACCTCCGTCATACGAAAGACTTTCTCGGTTTTGTGGAGGACTTTTGTTCGGCGACGGGCATAAGGCTTAATAAGGCTAAGACTTTGGTGCAGCCATTTTTCCCTGGTCCCCGTCTTCTTAGCCTTTACGACTTGAACTGGTCCGCTTAAGAGTTGATGTTATCGACAATTTCGGGAAGACCAAGCTTCTTGGGATACATATTGGTCCTTGGTTAACCAATGCTAATCGCCTTTAATACCTCATAGCCGAGATGCAAGCGCGCTGTTCCCTATGGTCAAATAGGGCACGCACCCTTCGCGGCCAAGTGGTGATTATACAGCAGATCATTATATTCATACTTTGGTATTCAGCCAGCGTCTGTCATGTACCGGTGACTGGGTTCCAAGATTAAGTCAACACGCTCATTTCGCGGTTTATCTGCAAAGATAAGTCAAGTATCGCCTTGTCAAAAGGCTGGTGGTTAATACCCCAGAGTCAAGGCGGCTTGGGTCTCACTCCGATCAAGGACATGGTACACAGTTTGCAACTTTACATACTGTGCAAGGTTATACGGGCCGCTCGGAATCACGCTACTACTGGTGTACCTACCTGGGCACAGCCTGTTTTACAGCTTTTTGACCAAGCTATTTCTCCCTATGGTCGAGACTTTGATATTCTGTATGCACCTGTATCAACAAGTCCAGACTACGCTATTACGTTTTCGGACTAAGCAATGAGCCCCTCTTGGCGCCTATTGGTACTCCGTTCTTTTTGTATGGACTTCTCGCTAAAAAAGAAACTGGTGCGTCTCCAGTCCAAATTCGACAAGGTTACAACACCGCTGTTGCACAATGTGGACATTACCTACAGTTCAAGTGGCCGCACCTTGGTCGACCGACCAAGGCGGCCAGAACTATATGTTATGTTGGCGGCTCAAGGCGTTTTTCGACCTAGCGACTTATGCTGATTCTGCGGCCATTCAGTGACTAGAGATTCCCTATCACTTTTTCTTCGAGCCACACACCCTGGCCGTAATACTGGCGTAGGGTCGTGCGCCAATTTTTTGGCTCGCATCAATAGCCTACTGGGTCCTTGACGGGATTTCCCTATTGGAACACATTCAACCTCCAAGTACTTCGGTGCCCTTCACAACTGGGTGTTTGACGCCTTTGCGTTGGCTGACCTTAATGTGACTCGAAATCGGTCTATTATCACCAAGCCTGCTTCACCGGCATTGCCGTTAGAGCGCCTTGGCTTGATCGCAGACCCGCCGCCTGCAATGTGGAGTCGCGACCTAAAGATGGGTAAGATCTACTTCCCGTTTATGCTGGTCGGCTTTTTCGGCTCCAGCACAATGCGCTTTTCCTTGGGTATCGACTTTAGCACCTTTCTGGTGCCGCTACACTATGTATTCGCGGTTGTGATTTTCTGGAAACGGCGCCCCATCTTTTTTGGTTCTGCGACTTCGCCACTAAAAGGTTGGGATAAATGGCTCGCTTTTTTTTCCAGCCACTTTTGACTCGACTCTCGAATGGAGCTCGGTGCTTCTTTTTGCTATCGAACCAACACAGAGTTCAAAAACGAGTTACGGCTACAGCCTCTTCGTCGTTTTCCATGTGGTTCGGGCGGTCATCCTTCGCTGTATTTGGATGCAACGAAATGACATTCGCTTTCATGACCACACCGCCAACCTTATCGACGATCAAGCCCAAGTTCTGGCTGCGGTTACTATTCATACTGGTTGGTTCTATCGAGACTTAATAACTCGAACCTTGAGCCATCTCAGTCTAACCTTACGGCAACTACGATCTATGTTAGGAACTTAACGGATTCGGCGGTTTCGACCCGTCGATTCCACTACTGACGCCAATCCTCCAGATTGACGACCAAAGTATAAATTACCTGTACGTCGCTCGCGGCTACATTGGGGGACTCTATCGTTGTGGTATCGGGATGCTCGACTCTATTGAGTGCGTACTCTATTTGGTTCACGGTTACCACTCTCCTTATGGTTACGGTTGGGGTCTTCTCTATCGCCCTAATAAAAATTGGGTACTTCTCCTTCGACTCGAATTGTAAAATATTTTTGGGTCTCACGTCGATTTTGGCTTATTGGCTTTACGCTTTGCCTTGGCTTATGGTTCGGCTTCTGGCGTTTGGCTTCTACCCTTGCCATTAATTCTTGCGGGTCTTTGGCTTCGCCTTGAGGCTTTAGCCTATTATTTTATGTGGGTCTTGGCTTTGGATTTCGCCTTTGGGCTTTTGCTTCTTCGCTTCATTGTTTGATTCCCTTAGTGATCTTATTGAATTGCTATTGCGCCTGTTTGGGTTCACAAATACTCCGATATGAATTCTTGTTACACAGTCATTTGGAGGGACCGGGATTGTTTTACGTGCTCAAATCTTAACGCCCCCAAATGTTACCTTTACAGTACTACTACCGGCCGCCTTCTATGGGATTTTTTTCAGCTTAATTACCGAGCCTGCTTACGGCAAGCCTGAGTTGTGTACGATCGTTTTCGTACAAGGGTCAAGTAAGTACTGCCTCACTACAGCACCTAAGTGTTTACCGCAAGCCTCCTAATTTTCGATCAAATACTGAAATCAAGGCAACTCATCAAATTTGCACCATGTTGGAGTAGAACCCGCGCCAACCACCCGACTAACTATTCTTTGGTCATTTAATACTCCACCATACCGAACACAGGAACAGAAGGAAATCGCTGGTCTTCCAAACCATCATCTCTATACTTGGAGTTAGAATACACTTACTCAAGCCAAGACATTTTCGGTTCTCGAGTCTTCGCCCACGATTCATGCCGGTATCGAGTCTCTCTCAGTATTCACCAGTCAGTTACGTATTGAGTGTTATAAATAAAGTGTTACTATCGGTTTACTCAATCACATTTTAGTGGATTGTAATACATCGCAATAAGACTATAAGTGACCTTCTTTGTCGAACAAACATTAGTGGAGCATTTTGTAGGATAAAGTTTTATGAAATTTATTCTCCTAGCCTCCGGGTACATGTAAAAGCTAACACCTCTCGATTCCAATTTCGTGCCACAAAAAAAGTGAAGTCAACACAGTCGATTCCTTTCGGAAAAGACTTAGCGCAAACTCGAGTCACTTAGCAGAGATGAGCTTCCAGAAAAAACTGTAGACGCCTCATTATGTTAGTGAAAAGAGGGTCGGAGGCTAAAAGCTGGTACTCTACACGACCCGAAGGGAGATGAGGAGCGAAGGCTTCGCGAATCAAACGGACATGGATAAGCAAGCAATGACTTCTCTGGGTAACTTGTTCAATAACAAGCAGTATAGGGTTTAGGGTTTAGGGTTTAGGGTTTAGGGTTTAGGGTTTAGGGTTTAGGGTTTAGGGTTTAGGGTTTAGGGTTTAGGGTTTAGGGTTTAGGGTTTAGGGTTTAGGGTTTAGGGTTTAGGGTTTAGGGTTTAGGGTTTAGGGTTTAGGGTTTAGGGTTTAGGGTTTAGGGTTTAGGGTTTAGGGTTTAGGGTTTAGGGTTTAGGGTTTAGGGTTTAGGGTTTAGGGTTTAGGGTTTAGGGTTTAGGGTTTAGGGTTTAGGGTTTAGGGTTTAGGGTTTAGGGTTTAGGGTTTAGGGTTTAGGGTTTAGGGTTTAGGGTTTAGGGTTTAGGGTTTAGGGTTTAGGGTTTAGGGTTTAGGGTTTAGGGTTT